CACAATCCGGATTAGCATTTCACAATGACTTAAACATTTTCTTACTACCGTGGTAAAACAGACTTCTAGTTGTTCACTCATATTTTTATCGTGGATTTTGAAATTAAAAATTTTATAAAATCTAATAATAATTCAAGATTAATGTGTTGAATTTTAAAATATGGTTATTAACGCAAATAAACATCATAAAAGATCAAAAAGTCATCGAGAGGATCTAACGTTAGAATTGAAAAAGTTACAAAACAATACACTACAAGCGGCACCAAAACTTGACGAGAATTCATCTCCAACAAGAAAGGATTATCGATATTTTCACTCAATTGTCAAAGTTTGCATGCGCATGTAGCTGACCTAAAATATGATGCTATCTTAAAAAAGTCAAATGTTCTGCTTTTGTCGGAAATTCGTTTGAAAAACGAAGAACACTTGATATTTAAATTTTGCTGTAAGTTATAAAAGACCCGAAGTTCCAGCAGCATGCGTAGCTATTTATCACAGTATTCAAGATACGTCACACTTCATTACTTTACATATGGATATATGCGTTGCTCGTTGCGATTCTGAGAATGGGCAATACATATTAATGGTTGCCGTTTATATTTCGCCTGGAAAATCTATGAGACAGATACAACAATTTTTATTCGAAAATGTGATGATTTATACAAAAAATGGTTCTGAAATACTCGAAAAAAGACTTGGTGAAAAATATGATAATGTACCGATGATTTTAAGTGGAGACTTCAATATTAACTTTGCAGAGGATAAAAATCTACCCCTAATTGAATTTCTAAATGAAACACTTGATGAAAACTCAGTACTACAAAACATAAAACGACAATCGATGCGATTTTTACGCGATACTTAGATAAATTTGAATCAAACACTTTCCTTTCTTACTTTAGTTACCATACGCCTATTGTATCTTTTTTAGAACAAAATGAAATAATTGAGAGTACAAAAAGTCTAAGTATTGTTGAAATGAATGATGAAAATGGTGCAAACAAAATAATGTTAAATATCAAGTACATTGAAATTTAAGTAAATACAAATACTATCCATAAATAATATGATTGTATATTAATTGTTATTTCTATTGAATTGTATTTATATTGTATTAATTGTAGCCCGTAATATATTTGAATAATAAAAAAAATATATAAACATGTGCATTTAGTTGTTGCTCGGAGTGTCAGTAGGTGTGAAAACCAGATTGAAGTTGATAATTTTAATTCAAACATTATGAAATTTCAAATTTTAATCCTAAAAAATCTAAGTTTTCACTTCTATCGGCAGTCTCTACGACTGCCAATTTTTATTAATTATAATATCAATTTTTTAAAAGAAAGACATTTTAAAAAATTGCTTAGTGCATTTTTTAAAAAAAATTAAAAGAATAAAAACTCATAAAATTTAAAGATTTCGAAAGGTACTTAGAAAATATATGTTTTACTGAATTTTTTTGTTTTGTTTTTATAATTAACATACCGTAAAAGTAATAAATTAAACTGTAGAAAAAAAATAACAGGCTCTTATAAAATAATTAAAATTAAATCGCACTTTTTTCTCGGCTAAAAATAAAATATTTTTTAGAAATTATTTTTATTAAACTTTTAAACTGACAAGACATTAAATTTATAGATCAATTATAAAACCAATATCCATTATTATTCATATTTTATATCAGGGATTATTGATAATAAACGTTACCTTTTTGTAATTTAAAACGGCTTTAACTCTTTAATGTATTTCAATCAGAATATTAAAAAATTCTGTAATTAATGCATTAAATAGAATTTAGATTTTTATAAGAATTCCTTTTTTAAACAATCACCATAAAGGGGAAAAAAATATATGAATGTAAATAGTGAATGGCAACATCAAGTAAATTACGAAATCTCAAAATATTTATAAAAATTTCTAATTTAAATATTTAGTTAAAAATAAATATTAGATTTCACAGACTAGCAAAAACTTTAAGGAAAAAAACTGCATTCCAATACCTCTATCAAATTCAGTCTCTAATTTGCAAATACGAAGAATCATCGCTGAATTTTTTTCTCAGTTTTACTCAAAATCTCTAAAATAAATTACTAAAAATAAGATTTTTTTTAAAAAGTAAAACATAGTAACAGCGTTTAATCCATGTGTATATTAAGAAGCAACAATTTCTTGTATCCCCCATTTTAGAATCATTTTTCAAGTGGTCATTTATCCACTCTTACTGGATCAGATAAAATCCTGATCCCATCATTAATATTCCAACCTCCCCTTTTTGTCCCCCCCCCCTTTTAAAAGGGGGGGGGGACTTCACACATTGATATTTCTACCGTGGTCAATACAACAGCAACAAAATAGTTAATCTCAACTAAAATAGCAATAATTGACTGCGAAACCGAAAGGCGTAGGTAGTTAGAAGCCGTAGGGAAATTCTTCCCCATGCGGGGAAAAAATTTTGAGACAGTAGGGAGCAAAAGTGCGACACTGCGAGGTTCAAAATGAGACGGTAGTCTGGAGAGCAGGGTGCACCTACTAGGTCAGCAGACAAAGTTACTAGCTGCTCTGTATTGATCTGCGTCTGGAAATTTCGGCAGGCGAGACACCAACTCTCTCCAAAAGTTTCCACAAAAACTTTTCCAACGGGCTCTTTTGAGGAGGGAAAAGTGCCTTAAAAGCTTTTCGGAATTCTCGGCCCCTTTCCCTGTCCACAATTTTCTCCTCGAAAATTCTCGATTGAGTCAGTATATCGTTTCAGTTTGGCATGCTTTTGGGCTCGGTTTGGCGCGAAAAATTCCGCCGATGCCGTGGAAGAGAAATATCGTATGCGCGCTCGCAATTCGAATTGTTTCGTTTGAGGAATGGCAAAAGTTTGTTCTCTTTCTTTTTGTGGCTGAGATAATAATTTAAACAGATTATTTTCAGATAAAAAAAATTCTGTTTTTTTTTTTTCTATTTATTTGACAAAAAGAAAAAAATCTTCAAAATATTTCAGGGCATTTTTAAATTTAGTCGAATTAAAATGGCCTTTTTTTTTCGTGTTGCGTTTATTTATTTATTATTTTTTTTTTTTTGCATAAACACGTGATTTGTGAATGTTTCCAATTTGAATTTTGTCTCAAATTATAAAACAATTTTGAAAGGCCGGGAAAAAAAATTTATTTTTCAATTTAATAAATATATTTGATCTTCTAATTAAAGTATTACTTATAAGAAAAAGCTGTACATCTATAAACTATTTAATACAAAAATTCCATTTTTTTTCATATAAGGAAAAAAGTAACTACATTTTAAGATGGGTTAAAGCATTCACAATTGACGATGATCCAAATTGAGTTGGTATATGTTTTTTAAACAGTCCATCGCAATAATAAGAAAACCAAAATGGTAGCATGGCTACAGCGGACGTGGTTGGAGCGGACACAACATTTCGTGGTTTAAGCGGACACATTTTTTTCCCCATCTTAGAATAGATTTGATTACCAAATTACAACAATAAATACATTTTTTGCCAATCAAATTTAATTACTTGTATTAAATTGTTAAGATGTTATAGTGCGAATACATTTTAAACATAGCGAAATGTAATAGAAATAAAAACTTTCAGAGAAACATTTGAAAATTAATAGTAAGTAAGAATATAATGAAGGGTATGAACGGATTTCAGGAATTTAGTGGAAAACTGTATTTTAGAGTCAAATAAATATTAGAACAGGTGCAATAGCCATACAATTAATTAGTTTCATTAATACAAATAAAAATAAATACTAGAAGTAAAATACACAAGATACAAGTAGATAACAGAAAAATAAATACAAGTAAATAAATGCTAACTAACCTTTATTATAAAGGCATAACTATCATTTACCAATGGATTTAATCCAACATAGTTACAAAACTAAGATTTTAGATATTTTCCTAGATTGTTTGATGTTTCGAATTCTTTTAGGATGTTTTCAATTCTTTCGTTAAATTTTGCATATGCTTTTTTCCCTTTTTATTCCAAGGTCGCCTAATTCTCTGGATTTCAAATTAAAAGACACTTATTAGTTAAAATACTACAAGAAGAAACACAAAAAGTGATCTAGTTTTTATAGAAATTAAAATATCTCTTATTCTAAAGGTTATTTCAAAAATGAATAACATAGCAACACATCAGGATTGAAAAATTTAAAATTTGTTCATAAACTTTTGATGCAAAATGGGTCGCGTTTATGTTATTTTTTGCAAATTTTGACCCATTTCCCCCTATTTTAGTAATAATCATTTCTTTTTCTCTTCTTAATTTTAGCATATTTTTTAAAATGTACCAAATCTAAAAATCACCACATCTCCATTTTTTTTTAAAAAGTCGTTGCAAGTATATAGTTGGATACCTTATAAATATAAAAACAAAGCTTTTTTAAAATCACGGTTCCGAATGTAATCAGTTACTGTGCAAGATTCCACTAAAAGAATTTGTAAAAGTGAATGAAGTATTTTGGATCCGAGTTACATAAAAATTCATGTTAGCTATGTAAGGGGTGTTTAGTAAACGTCGTCCTGATTTCATCGAAGACCCCTACATTTAGGCAAAACACAATGAAGTTTATTTCGGTTGATAATGTGTTTTTTCATAAGTAGATATGTTGAATTTCAAAATTTTTTTAACACAACATCGAAATGAACATGAATTAGGTAGAAAAGTAAAACTCATTAAAAAACAAGTAATATATAAAAAAGAAATTAAGTCAATTCCTACTTAGGTCAACAAAGAAACATTATATTTTAGTTGCTTTTTATTAAATAGTTACAATTAATATAAATCTGTATATACTTATGACAGAATCACACTATTAAGTGACAAAACAGAAAGAGATTTTCCTTGCAATTTTCCAATTCGCTTTCTATATAGGGTGTTGAGCTATGTTTCTTGTTTACTTACCACTATTGATTCATTAATTATAAATTTAATTATTCTAATAAAATTGTATAGTAAAAATATATCATATTCCCAGAAATTATGCCATCCCAGGTAGAATTCGAACCCACGACCTTTGAATTAGAAGTCCAAGGCGCTATCCATTGCGCTCAGGGACACAACGAACGATATTCTTTTCTATATATGCTGTTGGTCTATTATTTGTGTTTGTTACTATTTATTCATTTTTTTAATTTAATGAATGAATTAACATTTGAAAAAACTTTATTAACATCGAGTGTCATCCATTACAAGTTTTAAAAAATTTCTTTGAACTTGAATGAATGAATAGAAAGTATTTTATTAACGATTGAAAATTTGAACAAGATATAAAAGAGAGAGAGAGAAAATGAAGAACTAATAGTAGTTACTGAATAACAATTTTTTAATACTTTTAGTAATAATGTAGATGATGCTGATTTTAGTAGTCGGCTTCCAAAATCCAAATGATGCGTATCAAATGTGACTTGCGGAAGAATGATACTGCAAAAATAGACAAACATAAAAAAAAGCAAAAAATGATGAAAACCAGGGTAATGTTTGCTTTGCTGTGCGGCAAGTTAGTAAAAGAATTTCATCTTCCTCTTCCTCGTATGAAATGCACGACCTTGGAAAGGTTAGTCGAGAATTTGAAGGACAATATAACAAAATGCAAATCTAATTATTTTCTTTCTCTCGCTCTCAGGAAGTTCAGTTCTCACTTCCGCATTTTGTTCAGAAATAATTGATAGTAAAAATTATCCGGGGCACAAAAGTTTGCCTTCTGATCTAACCAGATTTACGGCAAACATTTCTTCATTTCAAATAGAATCTGCCCTTTAACATTCTGCTGAAGGGTGTTAACATTCTCTGAGGGCTGAAAATATAAACAATATTCAAATACCTATAAGTCTTTGAAATTAAAATTAAATAATTCGAATCCTTTACATATTATTTATAAAGGAATGGGGCTTCAAAAAAGTGTAAAATATAATCATAATTTTAAAAATTATAAGCATATGAAAATAAGAAATTATTCTATAAGAAATATTAAGTTTTATTTTGCGCCAGCTATTTTTTTAAAAAAAGTAGCAGCTTTAACTACTAGCAATAAGTTGATTTATAAAGTTAAATGTATCCTTATTACACCGTAGTAATTTTAAATAAATATATAATAAAAAATTATATTTTTTTAAAAATAAAAAAAATTATATTTTCAAATTTTTTTTTAAAAATTTCAATTTTTCTCCAAATATTTTGAAATACAAAAGATATATTATTCTTAAATTACTAGGGTTTAAAGAGTAGGATACATTTTATAATTCTATAAAGTTTTATACATCAAAGGCCACTCACTAATTTAGAAAATAGCATGCGCAACAAAAATATTACTTAATATTTATTACAAAATATTTCTTATTTGCATATCCTCATAATTTTTTAAATTAGGATTATATTTCAAACATTTTGTACTTTTTGAAACCATAATCCTTTGTAAATAATGAGTAAAAGATTCGAATTATTTAATTTAAATTTAAAAGAAGTATATCTGTTTGAGTAAATTGTTTATATTTTCACTCCTCAAGACAAAATTAGCACCCCTTTTTCTCTCTTATCTATATAAACACTTCATAAAAATAAATCGTAAATTATTAGCAATTAATGGAATATGGCTGTATTAAGACTAAACATTCGTTTAAGGTATCCGACTACTTGCGACAACTTTTTTTTTTAAATGGAGATACGGGGATTTTTTGTTGTTTTCAGATTTGTTTAGTACATTTTAAGAAAAATATACTAAAATTAAGAAGAGAAAAAGAAACTACTATTACTAAAATGGGAAAAAATGGGTCAAAATGTACAAAAAAATAACATAAACGCGGCCCATTCTGTACCAAAAGTTTACGAACAAATTTTCAATTTTTCAATTCTCATGTGTTGCTATGTCATTCATTTTTAAAATGACCTTCAGGATAAGAGATTTTTTTAATTTTTACAAAAACTAGAGCCCTTTATCTTAATTATTATACGAAATTGCTTAAAAAAACAGTGATTATATTAACATAAAGTACTGTAAACTTTATAATAAAACAGTGATTGATAAATCTGAAAGTTAAAACACTTCTACTATTATACAGAACATACACGAAAAATTTCAGTTCATTATTTTCAAAACTTTTTCAGCAATCGCAGGGCAGTTTGAGCATTTTCAAAAAACGCATTTCGAGTAAAACGCGTTTTAAAGAATGACATCTAGTGGTTAAAGTAATGACATCTGCTTTTACTAAAACACTTGTAGTTTTTGTTCTAGTGAACGGAAAATAATAAATTTGGTATTTTTATAAGGCTAATAAGATGGCCTGTAAAATAAAATCATAAAGAAATTTGTCAATTTTTCGCAAAATTCACAATTTTAGGATAGTCGGATACCTTCATAGGTGACTGATTACACTCGGAAACGTTATTTTGAAAAAATGTATAAATGAGTAATTTTTATGATATTTTGTATCCCTTGAAATATTAGAATACACACATAGAATTCTTTTAAGAATATTATTACAAGATAAAATTATTCAAATGCAATTTTTTGCCAAAAAATAAAGAAAGGAAATGACAAATTTTCAAAACTTTTTATAAAAAAAGGCTTCTAAAATAACATTTTGCCTTTATATAGCTAACGCCACTTGAATTTGAATATACACATAAAACTATTTTAAAAATGCTATTAACATAAAAAAAAATTTAATCGAATTTTTTGGCATAACATGAAGATGAAATGCTATATTGATAAGATTTTTCTTTAGGGCTTGAGCTAGGATTTTTGAATAATTCAGATTCTTTTCAGAATAACGTTCAATTGAAATAATAATCGGTACTTTTTTGTTAAAACTTTTCGCTGGCATATTAAAATAAGAATAAATCCACTTCTAAATTATATAATCCGAAAACCCCTATTTTTGTCTCAGTCACAGAAGTCTTAACAATATATAGGCAAGATTATTATAGATACATTTTTCAAAAAATAAATTATAGTTTAAGAAAACTAAGATAGACATTTTATAGTTAATCGAACTAAGTTGTAACTTAATCTTTTCGTCGCCAAATCTGGAAAAGGGATCTAAAATCGTTTCTCCTGATAATCCCGATTAGGACAATGGAACAAAATTATTAAATTATTCTATTGTCATCGGCCCTGGACAAGTGAGCAAAATTTCGAATTAATCTGACCTTTTAAAGTGGGTAAAAATTGAGTTCACAGATTCCGTTACATGCAAGTGAAGTTAAAAAACGGTGTTGAAGAGGAACATGTTATGAAAATGTCATTATTTTGCAAAAAAAATTGCAGTTTTAAATAATTTTTTCTCGTAATAATATTCTTAAAGCAATTTTATATGTATATTCTAATTCAAGTGACACTAAGTAGCAAAGAAAATGATGCATTTTTCGCTTTTGCAAGATCCGAACGTAGTAAAAAATTATTCATGCATAAAAATTCAGTATCTAGTAATGATAATTAGTAATATTATATTTAGTTACTTTCTGATATAATTCCATTTAAAACGCCAAGATTTTCGCCACGTTCTGGTTCCAGTTAATTTGCCGAAAATAGAATTCGCCTAATTGAATTTTTGAGTCACACTAATTAAATACTCAGAAAATTCTACTTGAAAGTTCATTAGGTAAATTTACCTTTTTATACAGTCCGTTTCATGCTATTTTGACTTGAGAACTTATTTTTAAGTTCTACTAACGAAACATTCCAAGAATTCGAGCCAAACGATAAACGTTTTGCAACTGGATGATGAATTTCACCTGCCTTTTGGAATTACGAAACAGCAGAATTCAGAAGTGTCGTACAAGCTTATATATTGACATTAATTTTTAAATGAACTAATCAAATACTGGGCATCTTAATAAATTTATTTAAAATATTAAGATATTTTGTTTTAATTGGTAATTCTATAAAACAACTAAATCATGCGATAAAAAAAACATTTCAATTTTTAACAATGTATATTCTTTTTAGGTAATGTGTTGAAATGTGGCGATTATTTAAAATTTTATTGTTTTAATGTTGATTTTTAGTAAGGTTTTTTTAACGTAAATTCGAACGCATGATTTTAAGAATTATTTTATAGTTTTCTAACTGTTCAGAGAAATTCGAAGTAATGCACACGACAAAAAGTTACTTTCAAATAACTTCAAAAATTTTAAGATAAACTATTCAAACTATTTCAACAAAATATGATTTAATTATGAAGTTGAAGGAGTACTAGCTATTTATCAAGCAAATTCTCCCAGTTAGCAGCTAAAATGCTTTACAATCAAAACATATTAGAAGCTTTAGGGCTATTTTTTATAATTTATTATTTTAGATACCGTAAAATCCGGCGTATAACACGCATTTTTAACGCAAAAAATAAGACCGAAATTTAAGGGTGCTCGTTAAACGCCAGATATAAAAAAATGAGAGTTTTAATTTAAAAAGAAGCATAGAAAAAAATTAGATTTCTACATCTATCGAAATAGTGTTTCTATAAAATAAATGACATTTCTTATGAACTTGACGAGTTATAGTTCTAGAAGTATACTATTTTTTTTCTAAAGCTTAGAATAATATTTCGAATGAATGACTTCAAAACATAAGAGCATTGCGTACAATAGATTCATGTTTCTTCGTAAAAAAGAGGGCGCGCGTTATACGGTGAATATACCTAAAACCTAAAAATTGCAGCTTGAAAGTATAGGTGCGCTTTATACGGTGGAATTTCCGATAATTATTTTTAGTGCATAAAATGTTTAAAGATTTACAAACTGTTCAGATTAAAATTTAAAACACGCATAAAAAAAATTCAAATTTTTCTGTTACAAACAGTATGGGTGTCGAGAATCCTCGCCTCGAGCTTTTGCAACTTGAGGAGTTTTAAAACTCCTCCTCGAAGAAGAAGACGTGATTATGTTAATTAAGACTATTATATATAATCTAGGTTTTCAGGTTAGAGAGAGAAATAGGATAGACTACTATCGGAGCAGAGATTAATCAACTTGAATGTGAATCGCGGATATTTAATATTTGATAATTGAATTACTTAAGGTGGCGAATGGTCACTGGAGATTGAATCCAGATTAAATAGCTAA